CATATAGAAAAATTGTCAGGCTATTGGTGTTGATTGTTGTCTAGCCAGAGATAGAATTTTGTTTGTCTAGTAATATACAAATAGAGTTAAAATCTTACTGGAAAAGCACAGCAACAGTGTTCTAACATTGTTAGCTACCTAGTAAAATACACTTTCATAGTAGGGAAGAAAGTACAGGAGAAGTTAAAGAATGAAGTTAATTTTTTAACATTTTCCCTTAAGGACCAGTGTAATGCGGAGAAGCACGCAGACGGAATTATAGTAAGTTTAATCTAATCTTTTGTTTCCTTTTAATTCTGCAGATCATTATAACCAGTCATGTCAGGAGAAGGCTGAATTTCTACTCATTTTTCAGCGCAAATTCCTCTTTTCACCTACTCACTGCTTTTTATTGTTGACTCTTGCAATTTTCTTTCCGCTCCTACAGTTTGACTATCTTTCAGCAATCATTTCGAAGGGAAATGACAGTCTTGAAAATGTTTAAGTGTTGGTTCAAATTAAATCACTCTGCATGTGTTAATTTGAAATGTTAATCATGATTTGAAAACTCATTCTTATGACTAAATAATCCATAACTCACAATACTACATTTCTTATCAATCTTTTTTCCTTAGATAAAAGCAAAGGGGAAGGGGTACGGTATTGAAAGATATCTTAACCTATTTAAGTATGTTTACTGATTTCTGTTATTTTCTTTTAGATTTTGTGTATTGTGTTAACAATCATTACTACAGTGGTATATACTGCGTTTTTGTTGAAACATGTTGCAACATGAATTCTTGTAGCCATTTTTTTATTCCTTCCTCCCCCTTGGCTTGTCATTCTTATATGTTCAGCTGGAAATACAAATTAGAGTTTAAAGATTTGTAGTTTGAGCTACCCAGGTTTTATGGTAACTGTATGACTTTTTTTTTTTTTTACAGTTCCTCTGCCTATGAGGTGCAGCTTTTTTTTTTTTTAGAGATTTATTTATTTATGCATACAAGAGCTGGGTTACAGGCCAGAGGTGAGGGGATGGGGGGTGGGTGGTGAGAGGATTCGCCAGAGACAGAGTGGGGAGCAGAACAGGTGGATTGACTGAAGTACACTGCTGCTGGGAGCAGCGAGAAAGTCAGGAGAGGTCTGCCGCGCCATGTGGATCGCTCCCTGGGCGGCCGGGGTATCGAACTAGTGCTGCAGAGGCTGCAGACAGCTTCATAGGTTGCGTCCCAACCCTTTGCACTACCAGGGATGTTCAGACTATTTCTGAAGCAGAAGGCAGCCCTGTTTTTGTCCTGAGACTACAAATGTTAACCTGTTTTTGATCTGGAAGCTCATTTTACAAATCTTTAAAACCATCTCATGATTATAATTGAAAGAATGAACGTGTTGTCTTTATAGCTGATTTAAAATGGAAAAAGAAGCTAAATAACTATTTTTACATGATTCTGTAAAAACCAGAGGTAAGAAACATTCTTGAAACTTGAATTAAGAACCTTGAAGTTTTTATTTCTCTTTTCACTCCTTAAGTTCAGGGTTTGAGCCGTGGTGATATATTATAATTGCTTAATACAAATACAATATAGTGTACTGTAATTTTCCTGAGATACCAGTTAAGATTGTGAGACTGTTGCAAAAGGACTGTATGTGTATAACATTTTATGGTCCCCAAAGACCCTAAGGAAAATTATGGTGACAAATTTTTTTTTGAAGTAATACTGGTTTACAACACTGTATGTGATTCAAACATGTAAGATTGTACCTCCTCAGATGCATGTCACCACACCACCAGGGTACCCTTAGACCTCCACCGTAGTCCATTGTGTCCCCTCCTTTCTTTGTTTTGGTGGCAAATATTTTTATCTCTTTTCCTTCATAGCAAAATTTAGTTACTTTTTATTACATTTTAAAAAATTGGTAGAATTTATAAAACATGCTAAAAATATTTGATTATTTGTAGCTAAAAACATCAGGAAGTTTATAGTCATAGAAAATCTAAAGAAGTAGAAGATAGAAATTAGAGTCATTTGATCAGGGACTATACTATAGTATTTTTCCTTAAGAGTTTTTATTTTGAAAAAAGAAAAACTGTGCTTTAGGCCTTGGAAACCCAATAGCTAGAAACCAGCCCCCACTCACTCGCTGTGAGTTACTTTAACCTGTGATTTTTAATTTCTTCATCTATAAAGAAAAGTGATTGGGGCCTCCCCGGTGGCGCAGCGGTTGAGCGCTGGGTTGCGAAGCTGCCCGCGGCCTCTGCGGCGCCGGTTCGATCCCCGGCTGCTCCCCGGCCACCGGCGGAGGATCCCACATGGCGCGCAGACCTCTCCTGCCGCCCGCTGCTCCCCTCAGCAGTGTACTTCGGTCCTTCTGCCTGCTCTGCTCCCCGCTCTGGCTCTGGTGAATTCTCTCACCCTCCGGCGCTTCTGACTGTACCCAGTGCATGTATAAACAAAAAAAAAAAAAAAAAAAACAAACAAAATAAATAAATAAATAAAAAAAAAAGAAAAGTGATTGGTTCTACCTCAGAAGGTTAGTGTAAGGTACAAAGCATATAGTGTTCAGTGTGTGTGTGTGTGTGTAAGGTATTTAACGGACCTTTCAGTAACACGGGTTTGACTTCGTGGGTCCACTTAATACTTTAATTTTGTTGGCCATTTATACCCATGGATTCCACATAGATTCATCAACTATAGATGATGTCAGTTGGTTGAATCCTTGGATGCAGAATCCATAGAAAAGGAGGACTGACAATGGAGACCTGAGTATTAATAAATTTAGTGTCTGATGTTGGGGGTGGAGGGGTCTCAGTCCCACACAGATTTTAGACTGGAACAGGGCATTAGTGCCCCAATCTCTGCCTGTTCAAGGGTCAACTATATATTGCATGTATTTCATTACTGTCACAACATATTAGAGCTGAGAATTATCGTATGCTTGCACATTGCATGCTCTGTACATATATTTTTGAAAGCAAGGTGTAGAATGTAATTTAACATATTTTATAATTAACTGCAATTGATTGACCAAGGACTATAGATAAGTATAGAAGTTATATTTTCTGTTAATAGCAATAAAAGGTATGAAGTACTTTTAATATACATGCAAAAAAAAGTCTAAAACTGGTTGACAAACTTCATCTTAGAACATTTCATTTGGAAAATGAGAGATTATATTCAAAAGATAGAATTTTGGTCCCTTTCCAGTTTTTTATATCTTATCCTCTGAAGTAGTTTTTCTTATATAGTGAGTGGAGATAAGGAGGTGATATATGTTTGTTTCTATGGAACAAAGCATTGATGGCAAGATTTTGCCTTTATAAAGCACTGGGCATCCTTTTGAGTTAACCACTTTATATAAAAAGGAATTTAAGAATATCTCTAGGACTTGTTTGAGATACTTTTTAGTAGCCTGGTCCAGAATATGAAAAAAAGAATCATAATATATCAGTATCATTATATAATCAGAAGAACCAGACCAAGGTCTTCCCAGAATAACCAGACCTTGGTCTTCCCACACCAAGAGAAAGCTCTTAAAGACCATATAATCCAGACATTTTTCATTTTACAGACTGAAAGTAAGGTCTTCAGCAGGTTAGAGATTTACCAAGTCCTTCATAGAGCAGGGATTCTAAGGAATTTTAAAAATCCAAGTCTCTGTTTATGGGCTTTTCCTAACACTTGAAAACTACCCCCCTCCTTCACTTTACTAGACTCATTATTTATCATGATTATTTTCAGGGTTTCTTCTCTAAGTATCCTTTGACTTCCAATTAAAAAAAAAAAAAAGAATATATATGGAAGGTAGAGTACTGTAGTGACAAGAATCAGAATTCTTGTCTTGAAAGCACTTGATTTAAGAGATCTGATTTAATGATTAAAAAGTATTTTGACAGAAAATGGGTTTTTAAGAAAACTTTTTCTAAACTTAGGCATTAAATGAGAATGCTATAAAGCTTTACTGTTATCTCAGTTTTCAACTTCAGACATTATCAAATTTTTGTCAATACATTTTAGGTTAGTTCATTAGCATAGTATTTCTCTCTTAATTCTGTTACAGTATTTCTGTTATAAGTTTTACCTAATACATACTTGAAGTTTAACTTTACAGACCAAGCAAAGCTAAAGAACTTAAAATTTTGTTTTGGGGGGTTTTATTTCATTCAGTTTTCTTTTTTTTAATAAATTTTATTTTTATATTCCCCATACAATTGCAATCCCCTTATTTTCTGAAGGTGAATCTAAACTTTAAAAAAAAACAAAACTCCAAATAAAAAATCATCAAGCTATGGCGTCTTGCTTTTAAAATGCTGCCATGCTTGCAGAGCAATTTCCTGCCTTGGAATTCAAGAAACACAAATTTTTTTTTTTCCCTCTGGAATTGTAACTGCATGTTTGAGTAATTTTTTTCCTTCTAAATCCTTAAAAAGGAAGTCTCCATCCCCACTACCAATTAGAAGATATGTTTCTTTGCCTTTAGTAACTGTAAAACTAGATGTCTTGTCTATACTGTGCAGTGCTCACTCGTGGAAAGTGGCAATAGTGTGTGTGATGCAGAGATAAGATCTTAGTGGTATAGGTTCATTAGCTAGTAATGGGTGTAATGTTTATTGACACCAAAGAAAGGAAGAGCATTTTTTTTTCTTTGCTAAGAGGAGTGAGTGATATTTGGTGTGAACTGTGAATTTGAGTGAGAAGCACCAAATTGACTGGAGAAGTTACTGTTTTCACTTCCTAAAATCTTCCCACACCATTTTATAGCTCCAAGTTTTTTCATTTTTTACTTACTATATGACAAATTCAAATTTTCCTCTTTACTATGCTTTTTTTAAGTGAGAAACTCTTAGACTTCTGTATAGTAAAGGTGTTTCATTTCCTCTTTGCATTTTGACCAACATATCTATGTAGCTATTCTCAGGACTTTGCTGTCAGAAATGTGGGCATTTCATACACCTGGGAGGGTCAGTACTAGAAGGGAATTTAATTTAAAAATAACTGTGGTTTTTTTTTTTTCAATCTCAGAGTACTATTAATCCTGTAGATGCAATATATCAACCTAGTCCTTTGGAACCTGTAATCAATACAATGCCTTCCCAGACTGTCTTACCTCCAGGTATAGTATCTGTAAAATTGTTTCACAGAAATATTGATGATAAAAAAAACTTAATTTTTGTGTCTCTTGTAATAATCTGAAGGGTTCTTTTTGTTAATATTTTTAGTAAGTAAAAGAAAACCCAAAAAGTAATATAGTAGAAAATGGTGACAATATTTTTCATATTTGCTGTTTTTAAGCATAATGAAAGGGCTTTTGTTTTTCAAAGTGAAATGGAAGACAAATGTAGTTACTAGAATTTGGACTAGAATTCAGTGACCTAGGATTCATGGCTACCAAGAAAAACTTGATATACCTTCATCTAGTAGAAGGTAATCCAGGAATGTTCAGTTTTGGAGGGTGTTCTTTATAGTTCTGAACAATATAAATGTTTTCTTCATGTTATGTTTCAAGATAATTAGAAATAGAAAAATGAAGTTTGTTCTGCCTATTGATTAGATAGATGTGTGTGTGTTTTAAGTATTGAGTGATAAATAGTTATTTTAAAAACTGGCAAGGCTCAGCACCCATCTATACTCCTTTTTGTTGCATCCAACTTTTCTGTGTCTCAGTGATGACATAGTTAAGTCAGAAATTGTGCCAGATAAAAGAAAATCCTTTTTGAAAAGATTCAGAAGTATATGAAAATCATTTTGTCAGTTTTTATGTTTTAAGAGGATAAACAATATCTCTAATTGGGCTAAAGAGGAGTCACTGTGCCCCCATTTCACATTTTTTGTGGTTTGATGCTCGGAAATACTTTATCATCAGAACTGTTCACTGGTTTTATAGGACAATTGTGCTAAGGTATCCTGCCTAGTGTTATAGTACTCAGCACATCATCATTGATTTTAAAAGTGATAGGAGGTCAAAAAGGAGTAGCATGGAAATTGATTTAATGGGATATAATTTCAAGGTTACTGATCTTTCATATTCTGAATCCCACACAGTTGCAGCACACAGTGTGTTTGGCTGTTTCTTTAATTCATTTCTCATGTTCAAATCTAGAACCAACTCAGTTGTGTAAGTCAGAGCAACGTCCATCTTCCCTACCAGTTGGACCTGTATTAGCTACCTTGGGACATCATCAAACTCCAACACCAAATAGTACAGGTACAGATCTGTATAATTCCTTTACCTCTCTTAACTCCGTATTAACATTTAAGGTTTGTGTTAGATTATTGATGAAGAAAAAGGTTGAAAAAAATGTATATTTTTATTGGAGATAATAGTTTTATCATTACATTTCTACATATAAAGTGCGTCATTATTTTTGGAGTGATTGAATCGGAAGCTTTAGTAATAATTATAATTGAAATAAAATATTGCAAAATTTTGTTTATCATAGATTTATTTTGAATATCTATATTGACTTAAAAAATTGCTGAAGTTAAAGTTGTATTCTTTCTTTTTTTCTTTTTCTTTTTTTTTCTTTTTTTTAAATTTTTAACAAATATTTGCTGCCCCCTACCCCCTCAGTGAGTCCCCATAGAATTTCCTTCCACAAGGCACCTGTGCACCATCACCACACTCCTCTGTGCGCCTCCCTTCCTCCCTCTGATCCCTTTCCCTCCTCCCCCCCCACTCCCGCAGTATGTCTCTGATTTATAATTGTCTGTTTTTGCTTTGTTGTGTTTTGTACTGTTATTTTTTTCACACTGATGTCTTATTTGGTTCCCCTATATTTCTATTAAAGTGAAACCATCAATATTTTTCTTTTTCCTTCTGGCTTATTGCACTGAGCATAATAAAGTTGCATACTTTCTTATTCTTAAAAAAAAAATCAGACAATATAGATATAGAGAGAACAAAAATTGACAGTCCTCTTTACACTCCATTATTTGTGTACATGTATGTAAAAAACACATCCATATGCTATTTGTTTTTGTTTTAATCTAAATGAGTTCGTATATTCTGTGACTTTATCTTTTCATTTAACCGACAACATTTAGAGACCTTTTTGTGTTCATACAGTTAAATCTACATTTTTTTTTTTAATAGTTGACCATGCAGAATTACCTGTTTTTCCACTGATGGACATTTAGGTGGTTTCCAGTATTTTCCTGTTATAAACGATACTTCAGTGAATATTCTTGTATGCATCTTTTAGCACATAGATTTTTTTAAAGGATCTGTTTATCAGTCTTTCACATTTTCCCCAGTTTCATAGGGGAAAGAAAAGCAAACAATTTTGGGCCTCCCTGGTGGCGCAAAGGGTTAATAAGCACAGCATTGTGAGACTATTAGCAGCCTCTGCAGCACAAGTTCAATCCCTGGCCAGCCAGGGAGCTACCCACATGGCACAGCAGACCTCTCCTGCTGCTTCCTTTAGCAGTGCATTTCAGTACATCTGCCTGTTCTGCTCCCACTCTGTCTCTGGTGCAATTTTCTAAGTATCTAGATCTATATTATAAAATTAGAGCCTTGATTTCCCATTGCTACTGGTGTCTCTTGTGGGACTTCCACAATCAGAAAGTACACTCTGTGATGATAATCAAAAGAATTTCCTTCTGAAGAGGGGTAGACAGGGAAGCAGTACTTTGAGACAAAAGGCACAACTGTATGGTGAAGAATAGAATTGGACTTTTAGAGGTGTGCTTATATAGTATATACATGTTGATTTTCAATGATACAATACACACCTGAAACTTATATAATGTTATAATACAACAAATAATATAATACAGTACAACACAAAAAAAATTTAAGGACTCTTTTCCTAATATTAAAGATAATTATAAAATAGGGATATAGCATTTTTTCATTTATTTAGAAAGCTCTGTCCCCATACAGTAATGCAGTTTTCCCTATTCTTTGTCTAGTTTAAGTGTTGATTTTCTTTACAAATAGTGTACAGACTTTTCTTGATTAGAAAAGTCTGCTTTTACTCTCTAAATTTATTCTTCTCTATTATCAACATTTCCCCTAATTTTAAACTTTTAACTTCCTAGGCAGTGGACACTCACCACCCAGTAGCAGTCTAACTTCTCCAAGCCATGTCAACTTGTCTCCAAATACAGTCCCAGAGTTCTCTTATTCTAGCAGTGAAGATGAATTCTATGATGCTGATGAATTCCATCAAAGTGGCTCATCCCCAAAACGTTTACTAGAGTAAGTAGATGAACTAAATATGTATTTATTAATCCAAATGGAATAAATTAACATCAGTTATAGCAGTATGCCAATGTTGTTGATTAAACTTAGGCATTATTTCTGTAGCACCAATATTAGGAGGAGAAGGTCAATTAAGAATGAATAAACTATGAAGAGATTACAGTTGTTTTACATTAGAATAGAGATGTTCAATACTGGTAAAAGGCAGACCCTACACTAGGTGAAGGGATGATACAGAGATGAAAAACTATCTAGTCCCTGTCCTCGAGGAATTTACAGTTTGTTGGGGGGAGCAAACAGACATCAGGGAAAGATTCACAAAAAGGGAAAGGAATATATGAGGGAAAAATGGAAATCATCTCATCCCTGTTAAGAAAGACCTGGAGGGTTTTGAAGAAAACCCAACAAAACTTGGTTGCTCTGGGAAATTGTTAAGTCATTGATTCTGTATGGTGGCCTACATGGTAGGGGAATGTAGCTACAAAAGAGATTGACAAGGAACCAAGTTATGAAAGAATCCTTTATCCGTTTTTGAAATGTGTATGTTTTCTCACAAGTAAGGCAGTTGCTAGTCAGGTCTTCATTTTAGAAAAAGTTTTACCTTTAAATTGTATAGAATTAGGGCCTCCCCGGTGGCGCAGCGGTTGAGCGCTGGGTTGCGAAGCTGCCCGCAGCCTCTGCAGCGCCGTTCGATCCCCGGCTGCTCCCCGGCCACCAGAGGAGGGTCCCGCATGGCGCGCAGACCTCTCCTGCCGCCCGCTGCTCCCCTCAGCAGTGTACTTCGGTCCTTCTGCCTGCTCTGCTCCCCGCTCTGTCTCTGGTGAATTCTCTCACCCTCCCGCGCTTCTGACTGTACCCAGTGCATGTATAAACAAAACAAACAAATAAATAAATAAATAAAACATGCCTCTATATAAATTGTATAGAATTAAATGCAGTGAGGCTGCATTATAGGTTGGGAGACCAGCCAAAACCTGGTAGCAAGTTGAGAAAAGATAACCTGAGCCAAGATAATAGCATGGGAATACAGGAAAGTACATGGATTCCAAAGATATGAAGCAGGCAGATTTCACAGCTATTAATGTTGCTTCCCTCATTAGAAAAATACTTGGCTTTTTTTATACCATTAGATTAAAGCTAGGTATCTACCACTGTACAGAAAATGCTTTAACAAGGAAAATCATTTACATGATAACTGAGAAGTAAGAAGCTTTTTAACCTTACTGGCATATAGGTTGCTATGGTTAAGACTTTGGATTCTAGAGTCTTAGAAAGAATGGCTTCTAAATCTGTTTTGCTTCAAAGGTGTGTGATTTTGGTAAAATTACTTACCCTATATAATCCTCAGTTCACTGATTTGTAAAATGGGGATAATAACAGTTTCAACTTCAAGGGTCATTGTGACCCTTTAAAATGAAAATAATGTCCATTAAGTGTTTAACATAGTATCTGCAATGTAATAAACACTCAATAAACCATAACCTTTTAGTAGGAAGCAATTTAATATTTTCTTTAATGTTGTAAATATAGCTGCTTTCTCTGGAGTTGGTACTGTTGTTATAGTATGAGGTTTGGTTTTGGAAGATAATATGAGTTTGCAAGCTTAGTATCATCAGTCAGTACTTACACCTTGAATGTTGATTTCTTTTGGTAAGAAATACTGTTTAGGACTCTAGTTTTGTGTGCATATAAACTGAGAGATACTCATCTAAAAAATATATCGTGATGGCTCAAAATCTCAAAATTTATAAGGAAAATGACTACATCGATTCAGAAAGTTTTGTGACAGTAAGGCCAAATTTAGCTTTTGAATGTGGTAAAATTTATGTGCTCTAGGTGAATTCATATTGTTAAGACATGAGACGAGTTATGGAAGAGAGGTTTGAACTTATAACTCAAGAAGGTCAGTCAGCAAAAAGGATTTTGTTTAGCATATTGGTTTCTTACTACTGTATGTAATAAAATAGTGGTAGTGGAGTTACAAGAAAATGTGCAATATACACAGTGGAATATTACTCAGCAATCAAAAAAGATAAACTCATGCAATTTGCAGCAACATGGATGGAGCAGGAAAGGATCAGCAAAATAAGCCAGAAAGAAAAAGAAAAATACCAGATGGTCTCACTCATAGCAGGAATTTAGAAAACCTAAATAAGGGACCAGGAAAAAGACTAATTATAATAGTGCCTCCCCGGTGGTGCAGTGGGTTGAGCACAGTGCTGTGAAGCTGTCCACAGCCTCTGCAGTGCTGGTTCAATCCCGGCTGGCTGACAAGAATCGCACATGGTACAGCAGACCTCGCCTTTCACGTCCACTGCTTCCCTCAGCAGTATATTTCGGTCGTCTGCCTGTTCTGCCCCTCGCTCTATCTCTGGTGAATCCTCTCACCCTCCCGCCCCTCTGGCCTGTACCCCAGCTCTTGTATAAAAATAAATAAATCTTTAAAAAAAAGACTAATTATAATAAAGTAAATCTCAAAATCAATAAGCAACTATAAACCAGAGACACACTATGGGGGGTAGGGGGAGGTAGGATCAAAACAAGGGGGGTGGGAGTTGTATGGGGACTATAACCAAGATGAAAACGCATACATTGTGCAAAAATGAAAAATGATGTAAAAAATATATAAAATAAAAAAAGAGAAAGAAATAAGACTTTAAGCAGTCAAAAAAAGAAATGGTATGTCTCATTAAAAAGAAAGATGTGCATTTGGAAGAAAATTCCTAAGTCAAAAGTTATTACTGATATATGAAATGTTTGATCATTGTTTTATATAAAACATAATTAAGGACAATCTCTTACACCAAGTATTAGTTGTAACTCTAAACAATACAATTGGGTATCAAAATGGGCTCATCTGTCTATCCTCTAGAAGTATAGTATATAGTTATATTCAGCAAAAGCTTGATAATATGTGGTTTAACCTTCTAACATCGCTGATAGTCTCTGATCCCAGTTTCAGAGGTTCTTCTGAAATTTTTATGAAATAAAAAATGTTAAAATGCTTTTCCTATTATACCTGTAATGGGCATGTCTTCATAGTTACCTGCAGATTCATTTCTCTTCATCTTAGAAGCTTCTCAAACTGGTAGGGACTGCAGATGTTTTGTTAAGCCAGTACAGTGTTTTTTTGACTTTTCTTTTGTTCTTTCTTTTGTTGGGTCTTTAAATCCCCTCAGATTAAGTATGATGGCATCAGGTTCATATTGTTTTATAATCTGACCCTGCTCACTTATTTGTGCTCTCCTCCTGTACTCTGTTAAGCTTGTGACACCTGCTGGTCATCAGCTGCCACCACAAGTTTCCTGATTATCGGGTTAATTATCTACTGTTTCTCTTTCTGAAAGAAGAGAATATGAAAGCTTAAATCCTTTCACTGTTCAGTTTCTAGTCATCTGTAGAAACTGTAGCTTCTGTGCAAACTATGTGATTGAACAGGATGGGTTTGTAGATAGAAGTGCATGTCAGGAAGAGCTCATGCATTGGAGCCATATATGCATTTGAAATGGCTCTCCTACTTACCAGCCATTGAACCTGTGAGCCATCTGTTTGATAGTGAGACTAAACTTGTCTAACTTGTAAGTTTGTGATGGAGGTTAGATTATTAGGGAGGCAAATTCATATAGTATATGTGGCACGTACTAAGTACTCAGTCAAACTTTGGATTCTGTTACGATAAGTTCTAAGCTTTAAATTTTCTGTTTTACTCTCATTCATTATGATCTTATCATTAAATTCTATACAGGTAAACCCTTTGCATAAGCCTTTCCTCTATGCATATCATTTTTGTCAGTTTGTTGGGTTTTTTAACTATATTCTTTAATCCTTTGCCCTGAATGAGATAAATTATGAAACAAGGATTTATCCCCCCCCCTTTTTTTTTTTCAATTTAGAGCTTTATGTTCAATAAACATTTCATTTACCTAGACACAGTTTCTAACATGAGTAAGGAATAAAGCACAGCATAAACAAATCTGATATTTGGAATTGCATCTAAAATAAGATTTGTATTTTCAAACATTTTGGAGTTTTAGGTCAGTTGATTTCAAAAATTTATTGTTTTGATGATGTGTTAAAGAGCCACAAAACATTTTGAACATAATTTTCATGCAGCCTTCTATTTAATGATAATCTGATTTCTCTTACTTAGGTCATTTAGTCATATTTTCCATTGACTCTCAAAACTGGTGAGGTAGACATTAGTAACAGTACCTTGTGATGTGTACTACTAAATTATCAAAGAAGCAATATTTAGTTACCTAAGGATTTTTGAAAAATAGATCAAAAGAAGGTAAGTGACCAGGGCAAACTGGTTAAATTAGAATTATGTATGTTCTGATACTCTACTTTTCCAATATAGGCAGAGTACATAGGATTTTTAGGGTGGTGAAACTGTTCTCAATAATACAACACTAGTGGATATTTGTCATTATAGTATACATGTGTTCAGTTCCATAGAATGCACTACACCAAAATTGAACCATAATGTAAACTATGGACTTTGAATTATAATGATGTCTCAGTGTAGGCTTATCACTTGTAACAAATGTACCACTTGGAATGAAGGAGGTTACCTGTATGGGTACAAGAGATATATAGGTAAATAGGAATTCTGTACTTTCTGCTAGCTTTGCTATGACCTACAACTGCTCTAAAAGATAAAAGTTTATTATTTTAAAAAATCAAATGAAGGTAAGTAATCAGGCTAAATGCAAACTGTGTTCAAGTTAGACTATATACTGTATTTTACACCTAGAAATCTATAATACAAGACTGATTATAATGTGTGTACCATTTTATAAATAATATCCGTAGTATGAGAAATTTGGTTTTTATTTTTCCATTTAACAGGTAAACTGTGTCTTTATTTATATACAAATATTAATTCTGGGTAAGTTAAATGATCATGGGTATAATAATATAGAGAAAGTTTTCTTTAGTTCCTGTTAATTAGCTCATCATGCTAATTACCATAAATTTTCTTGTAAAATAAGCTTTATATTTTGTAATTTCAAGTACAGTTCTTTAATGACTGGGGAGAGTATTAAGATGTGGACTTTTTTATCAAAGGATATAGACAAGATATTTTTTATCAAAAATATAGACAAGACACCTTTCCAAGATTAATAGACTTGCTCATTTTGAGGTTTTGGAAATTGTTGCCAAGAATTCCCATATACCTACATTTATGTATGGTGACTTTATAAGAAAGTGAGTTTTAAACTTACATGCATAGGCAAAATTTTATTAATTTTTGATATTTTAAGTATAGCTTGGTTGAGCGCACACTATGCCAAAAGCATGAGATGAGAGACCTTGTCATCAGACTTATATCAGCTTACAGTCTTGGAAAGAAAGTGACAGGATGAATATTAGAAAGTGTGTATATGTATGTATTTCACCGGCTAACTCTTAAGAGGCTAGTTTGTTTCAGTATAAAGGTGTCAGTACCTCTATAAAGTTAAAATCTTACTGTGGTTCTAAATTGCTTTCTTTAGCTTAAGAAAGTGAATAATGTTTTTTTAGTTCCTCTGGATCTGCCTCAGTCTTGACACACAGCAGCTCAGGAAATAGTCTGAAGCGCCCAGATACCACAGAATCACTTAATTCTTCCATATCCAATGGAACAAGTGATGCTGGTAAGTATCTGAGAATTTTTTCCCAAAAAAAGCATTTGTAGTACTAGTAGCAGCAGCACATATTTGCCTAATTTAACACCAGTCTGAAAAGATCTGGGTTTTTTTTTAGACCTTTTTGATTCACATGATGATAGAGATGACGAAGGGGAAGCAGGGTCAGTGGAAGAACACAAGAGCGTCATCATGCATCTCTTGTCACAGGTCAGGCTTGGAATGGATCTTACTAAGGTAAGAATCAAATTTGGTGTTTGCTGTGTATCATAATGCGTACATACGGATTCTCCTTGACTGTATAATGAGTGTACCTGCAAATATAGTATAATGACAATATTTTTGTCTTGTTTTGATTTAATATATATGTGCAATGAGGAAACTGAAAATTGGTGTAAATGGATGAAATAACTAAACTAGAAAAATTTCATAGAGAAAAGCATGTATGGATTACATAAATTAAGATTTGAATTTATTTGGGACAAACAAGGGATAGAATGGACTTGGTTAGTCATTTGAACAAAATCTAAAGCAGTACAGTGTAAACAGAATCAAAATAAGGAGAGATCCATTCTAGGGTTAGAGGACCAGTGTTTGCCACCTACCTTTGCTATTAGCAGACTGAATGGACTTGAGTAAGTCCCTTCCTCGGTGATCCTCAGTTTCTCATACACAGAATGGATGTATAGTGGCCTACTTTCCCAGGGTTGTCTTAAAGATTGACATAGGTAGCAAATAGAAAATTGTATGTAATATATATTGAGACATGCAATTATTGTGGTGTAGATTTGAATTTTGATTTAAAAGTGGCTCTCTAAACAGTATATACCCAATTGATTTAGGAGACTGGTATACAGGTGTCTATGTATATTCCTGCCATTGTTCTGGAGGCTTCATTCTTTCACTTCTCACCACAGCACTGCAAAATTTTATAGATGAGGAATTTAAAACTCATAAGTTCAATAACTTGGCTAAGTCATGTTATGGGATAGAATTTACATTCTAATCTGGTTTGTAACATCACAGTCTGTAATCTTTCCACTATTGATTCTTGTCTTAAAGACTTGAAATACAGTAGCTTTTACATCAATTATTGTTATTCTACCCAGCTTTTGAAAATTAATAAAATTGAGAATTCTCACTTTGACTATGACCAGATTAACTCCAGTGCTGTTGTCTTTGTCGGTAGTAAAACTTCATTTGGGTCTGGGCTTTAGAAGGCTATTAAGAAGAAAAATAAAGAATCCATAGTACTTTCTATAAGTGTCTGTAGTAAAACATTTTGCCCAAGATAGAAACACAAATATAGCATTAATTTGTGGAACACATGTACTTGTTGGGAATGATCTAGGTATGAGAATTATTGTAGGAATTTGTCCCCTGGAGTTTTCCAGTGATGATTAGATTGCATAATTGCTGAACCAGAATTGTCACTTCAAATTTGAAAGTCACAACCTAATTTTAGATGATGACATCTATATTTCTTTTGTATATATTTCACCTTGGTTGGTTTTGGTCTCCAATTAAGGTAGACCACCTAATGATAACTTGGACAGTAGTAGGTTTATTATTTCATATAATGAGAATTACAGTAGTAACAGGATTGATTAGTTCAGTGGGTCAACAATGTAGAAAGGACCTGGGTTCTTTGTTCTCTCTGTTCTTTTACCCTTAGCTGCTATTTGTCATATTCTATCTAAGGCAAATGCAGGGATTATACTCCTATTCTTACCTTTGCCTCTTCCATAACCTTTAACACAGGATCTTGAATACAGTAGCTATGTCGTAAGCACAGACTTTAAGGGGTGTTTGCTTACTGGCCTGCATTATTTCCATGATGAATAATTTAAAATCTGATCTACTTTCCAAAACTCTTCTTCCAATCCCTAATGAAATTCTTCCCTTACTGATTAATCCTAATCTTTCTCACTCTTTCTTCCCATATTCCAATTTTCTGTTTTCTTTACTGTATCCTCTACCATACTCCTCAGCAATTTTTTCCCCATGGACTCAACCTTATGGTAATTTGTTGATTCCCTGTCTTTACTCTTCTTTCCCTTGCTTATTCCTTTAAATGCTCATTTAAAAATTTCTTACTGTTTAATAGTGACCTAGAATGTAAGTGTGAATAAATCTTGATCCTTATATTCTAGTAGCTCATTATCTATTTGAGAACACAAATTCATAGTTAGATAAATTTCCTAATGAACTTATGGAGATAGAGAAGTAGCCAAGTGGAAGCAAGTACACAGACACTTGTCCCTGTCCTCCCTCCCCCAAAGTCAAACAGACCCAATTTTGAATTCTACCTTAATAATGGAGCAGTAAGGGGCCTCTCCTGTCTCGCCCACTGCTCCCCTCAGCAGTGTATTTCGTCACTCTACCTGTTCTGTTCCCCTCTCTGTCTCTGGTGAATCCTTTCACCCTCCCACACATCTGGCCTGTACCCCAGTTCTTGTATAAATAAATCAATAAATCTTTAAAAAAATAAAATAATGGAACAGTAAGAACATTTCTTACTCCTTTGAGCTTCTCATTATCTTCCTGGAAAATAGGGATAATTTCTTCATAACAGGATTCTTGTATGGTTTAATTAGGTAATTTGTATGTAATGCCCCCAGAAGATAGCAACAGGCTGCTACTGAGTTATTGTTTTTACACTGATTCAGGGAGCAAAGGGAGAGTCCACAGAGGAAGTGACACATGAGCATTTCTCTGTTTTTCATCTGCTGAGTGGGATAATGGACATTTCTGAATCAGTACAGTGTGAGAAGTAGTTATCAGAAGCATGCCTGGTCAACATTTGATGGGTGTTACCATCATTACAATGAGTTTTTGTTTTAGCAGTTCAGCAATCTGCTTTTGTTGGAATTTGATCCTCAAAGGCCAATGTGTATGTTTTTCAGGTAGTTCTTCCAACATTTATTCTTGAAAGAAGATCTCTTTTGGAAATGTATGCAGACTTCTTTGCACATCCAGATCTATTTGTAAGGTATTTGACTGGACATGGAAGTCTCTGTTGTTATTGTTGTTTTAAGATGATACTCAATAGCTTCTGCCTTTGGATAGATGGTTTCAGAAATTTCTGGGGGAACGTGGCATTGAATATTTTGTTTATATTACATACCTATGTGCTTCAATTATAAAATGATGGTGATGTTAAGCAACCAGTTAGACCCTTTAAAAAATGTTAAGAGCCAGAATTTACAGGGAGCCAGAATTTACAAAGCCAAGGTGATAAGCTTATATGGTTTAGAGATTGATAATCTCTTTATTTACAATATATCCTGATAAAGTTCAATTAACCTAGCTCAGTAAACCTTTTAAAAAGCACCCATTGTTTGTCAAGCACTTTGTTAGAAGATGGAGAAAGAAAAAAATCACTGTCTGTTTAAACAATTCAGTGTCCAGGTTACAGGCTGATTTATAAATTTTAAATATAAAGTTTGCAACATTCGATATATATATATACAAAGGGTAGAAGTATTCTAAAGAACTAAAGTATCACAAAGACTTGATTTCATATTACTTTTAGTGGTAGTAGGGAAATTTTCTTTGTAACAAGATGTTCTAATGTGTCTTCTCTTATTTCAGTCCTTGGACTGTGGTTTACTGAAATTTAGAAATTACTGAGGTTTCACAATGGATCAACACTGGCTGATACGGATGCTTATTTTTTCCTTCTTAATGATGAAGATTTAAGAGAACAATTTAGTCTATTCCCAAAGGACAGACAATCAAATAAATAATAGCACTGTTTTAATAAATAATTGAACAAATAAAATGTAAATATTTACTGGTTATGTGTAAGATGGAAAAGTACCAGTTTATTTGTTAGGAAATAACTTAGATTTTTAACAATATTTTTTATGTATGAAAATTTAAACTTTGAAGTTCCTGAAGAAACCATTTAAAAAATACAAAATATAGCTAAAATGCCAATAAGTAATACTGAATTGGATTCTAAAAATACTCAATTCCAAAAATGGAGTATATGAGAAATAATGGAACAAGGAACAAAGTGGACAAGTAGCAAACAACTGTCAAGATGGTATAATTAATCTCAGCTATAATGTAATTATACTAAATGTAAATTGAATATCCATTCCATTTAAGAGAACAGTGATTGTCATACTGGATAAAATGATCCCTTTGTATGCTATTTTCAATAGACTTTAAATATGAAGACACAGGTTGGTTAAAAGTCAAAGAATGGATAAAGATATACCATGCAGAGTACTGAACGTAACAAAACTGGTGCTGGCTATATTAGTATCAGAAAAAGACTTTTTTTTTTTTTTTTTTTTTTTTAATATTAAATTTTATTTTTATATTCCCCCATACAATTGCAAACGCCCCATTCTGACCCCAATCCTTCCCCTCCCGCCCCCCACCCCCCAAAAAGTGTCTCTGGTTCATAGTTTTTTGTTGATTTTGATTTTCACTTTCTTATATTCATTTTCCTGGTCCCTTATTTAAGTTTTCTAGATTCCTGCTATGAGTGAGACCATCCGGTATTTTTCTTTTTCTTTTTGGCTTATTTCGCTGAGCATGATCCCTTCCAGCGCCATCCATGTTGCTGCAAATTGCATGTGTTTATCTTTTTTGAATGCTGAGTAATATTCCATGGTATATATGTACCACATCTTCTTGATCCAGTCATCTATTTTTGGGCATTTGGGCTGTTTCCAAAGCTTAGCTATTGTAAACAGTGCTGCTATAAACATAGGAGTGCAGGTGTTCTTTGGAATTGATGTTTCTGTGTCCTTTGGGTAAATACCTAGGAGTGGAATTGCTGGATCATATGGAAGCTCTATGTTTAGTAGGTCCAGAAATCTCCACACAGCTCTCCATAGTGGTTGGACCAGTTTGCACTCCCACCAACAGTGCAGAAGAGTTCCTTTTTCTCCACATCCTCGCCAACATTTGTTGTTGCTAGTTTTTTTAATATGTGCCATTCTCACTGGTGTGAGATGGTATCTCATGGTAGTTTTGATTTGCATTTCCCTGATTACAAGTGATGTTGAACATTTTTTCATATGTCTGTTGGCCATTTGCATTTCCTCTTCAGAGAAGTTTCTAGAAAAAGACTTTTTAAGACAAAAACTATTACAAGGGACATTTCATATGATAAAACAGACAAGTTATCAAGAAAAAAATAACAAGAATTTATTCTTGATAAATGCTTATGTACCTAATAACACATCTTCAAAATACATGCAGCAAAAATTAAAGGGAGAAATACAAGTACACAATCAGAGTTGGAAACTCCTCCCCTCAGGAATTGACAAAGTAGCTCTGCACAAGCCTTCAGATACCTCCACAGAAAATATCAGTAAGACCATAGAAGAGTCAAACAACATTGTTAATCAGCTTGACAAAATTGGCTTTTCTGAACACTCCCAAATAGTGATATAACACAGTCTTTTCAGCTGCACATGGAGCATTCATCAAGATAGACCATATACTGGAAAGACTTAATATGTTTAAAATAACTGGAATCATACAGATCAGACATTCTTTGACCACAAAAGAATTAAATTAGAAACTGATAACATAAATATATCTATAAAAATCTCCAACTATTTGGCAATTAAGCAATGCAATTAAATGAAGTTCAAAAATAAGGAACACTAATTTATGGTACTAGAAACTAGAAATAGTGTTGCATCAGGTTTTGGGATAGGGATTGCTAGGAAAAGGGAGTGGGGAAACTTTGAGAGTATGGAAAGGATCTATATCTTAACTGGATGGTGATTAATTAAATGGATATATACATTTGTCAAGCTTATAAAAACAGTACTAGCATATTAAATTATGTATATTAATATATTTTAAAAAGAAAGCTTGAGGTAACTCAGTTCTGGGTCCTCTCAGCCTGACTCAGGGTGGACCATTTTGAAGGTGCTGTCTCAGCTAGAACTCTGTTAGGACATTAAATTTTGTCTTTCTTCCTTGCAGCATTAGTGACCAGAAGGATGCCAGAGATCGAATGGTTCAGGTTGTGAAGTGGTACCTCTCAGCCTTTCATGCAGGAAGGAAAGGATCAGTTGCCAAAAAGCCATACAACCCCATTTTGGGCGAGATTTTTCAGTGTCACTGGACGTTACCAAATGACACTGAAGAAAATTCAGTGAGTTGTGTACCAGAATATTTAGTTAATAAGTTGTGTACAGTTCAAGATTTCATTTTATAATGATGATAAAAGCAGCGGTCAGAAGATGCTTTCCACCCACAGAGGAACAGTGTTGCTGGATCAGCATGTTTTGAACACAGTGAACAAGGTGTAAGAGCGGTGTGGGATGGAGATACAGCTGTCAACATTAGGTCATGCAGGACTTTCTGGGCTATCCTGAGAACTTAATGGCTTAAGTTATGCCATTTTTGTGTTAAATGATTGTTACAATGACTTTGTTAAAAGCAAATTAGAAAAGGGGAAAAAGGGGACCAGTCAGGTGAATCCTTGCATGTGAACTTCAGCGATTGGTTGGTGCCATTTACCGAAAAGGAAAAGAGTGCATTTGGGGAGGGAAAAAGCAAGAACTCTGATTTGAACTATAAAGTATGAGGAGTCTGTTAGACAGTTAAGTGTGCAGCTATCAGGTAGACAGAATTAAGTTTGACGTTAAAGGGAGATGGGACTTCCGGAGATTTTAGTGCATTTAGATGGAATTTAAGCCCCTGGGATTAGATGAAATCATCTAGGAAGACAGCATAGCTGGACAGAGACGGCTAGCCTGAACCTTAGGGCTCCAATATTTAGAGGTTGGTTTGAGGAAGATGGCCAGCAAGGAATGTTAAAAGGCCTCTTCAAATGAAAAAGAAAGTTACAGTGCCTGTAACATAAGTCTTTCGGTAAACACAACTCACTTTATCTATCCGAGTGACATATTACACATGGTCCTTTCCAAAGACAGAGGCAGTATGTGTTACGTCTATTCTTAATGCCTTGGCACCACTGATGAGTGACCATGCTCTCAGGGTCAGGTGTGGCCCTGAGTTAGGCATATGATATTTGCCCTCAAGAATGTCGTAGGCCAGGGAGACTGCCACAGAGCAATCATTCCAAACGTGACTGCAGAATTGAGTCCCCAGAAGGGGACTTTGGGGGTGAGAAAAAAGGGGGTAGGGAGCCCAGTGGTATGCAGTAAAGAGATATGGGTGCTCTAATGGTGGGTGTAGTGTGATAACACATCTGAGGAGGTATGAACCTATTCCCCTGAATCACATACAGTGCTGAATCATATGCAGTGTAACCAGTGTTACCTCAATAAAAAAAATTTAATCATCCCAGTAGTATCATTAAGTGTCATAATAAAAGCTTATATAAAATGCTCTAGGTTTGTTGAGGAGGGAGCAGATAACCACCTAGGCAGGTAGAAACTCCAGTTATTAGATACTCTGAAGGGTCATTTGTGCTTCCACCTCAAAAGAAAATGTTGTATTTGTTTACAGGAGCTAGTTTCTGAAGGACCAGTTCCCTGGGTTTCCAAAAACTGTGTAACGTTTGTGGCTGAGCAGGTTTCACATCATCCACCCAGTAAGTTACAGGGCTCCTCTGCACCATTTACTTTCAAATTATTCTGTCTAAAGAGTATCCTAAGAAACTTCATAGCTGAGGTCACCTTATCTCTTACCAGCTATGTCTGTTTTACGGTTCCTCTTACCTGTTACTGTGTAAGTTTCAAACACCTGTTGGCTTCACTGATTAAAATATGTCTGGGAAGAAGGGATTTGGGAAGTTAACATATAATGCTTCTAAAGTCATCTTACACATGATGCTCTGTGCTATAGAGACCTTAGCCACTTGGGACACAGTTTATATAAATAAGATGCAGTTTCTGCACCATGTATTCCTGCGACAGTGGAGAGAATGCATGTCCTCAGCATCTTTTTTGCTCAATATACTGCAAATGTTAGATCGGCCAAGGTTGGACTAGGGCAGGAACATACTTGCTGACCAGAAGGATCAACAGACCATTAGATTTTAAGCCCCACAGTGGCTTTAGCCTCATAGTTGAGGGAAGGTCCTGCCCACATGGCCCTGAATGGTTGCTCGCATTGGGGGAATAGAGGAAGTTAGGCAGCTAGACTTAATTTGAGGTTATTCTTTCAGGGGTAAAGGGTGTCCCCTAGGGAGCCAGTCCTTTCTCCAGGTTAGTGAGTAGAGGAGGTGGGTATGTAGCTGTTATAGTACCCTCATTGAAAGCAGTTTTTATTCAGTTTCAGCCTTTTATGCTGAGTGTTTTAACAAGAAGATACAATTCAATGCTCATATCTGGACCAAGTCAAAATTCCTTGGCATGTCGATTGGGGTGCACAACATAGGACAGGGTAAGTCTGCGGGCATTGGGTGTACTGCAGTGATACTGGAATAATGTTATGTCATTCTCTGTGTGCTGTGCACTTGTCTAGTAAGAGAAAATAGCCCCAGAAAGCCAGCTTGGATGCCAGTATTTGCATATAAGTATGTGTTCTGCAGGTAAAAGCAGAGCTGTAGTGCAAGATTGATCTTACCTCAATGGAATGACAATATATGTCAAGCAGACAGCAAAGCCTTACGGCCAGCTGACACTACTCATCAGAATCTATCCTTTCTCTTCACAGGCTGTGTCTCGTGTTTAGACTACGATGAGCATTACATCCTCACGTTCCCCAATGGTTATGGAAGGCAAGTAGAGCTGTGTCCACTTCTTTTGATCAGCAGACAGTAGGCCCTGCTATGTCTCAAACCACACCCCTTCCCTCTTTCCTCTGAACTGTCAGCCTTACCTGAAAATTTTTGGTTTTATAGGTCTATCCTCACAGTACCCTGGGTTGAACTAGGAGGAGAATGCAACATAAATTGTTCCAAAACTGGCTATAGTGCAAATATCGTCTTCCACACGAAACCTTTCTATGGGGGCAAGAAGCACAGAATTACTGCTGAAATTTTGTAGGTATTTTGTTTTTCTTCAGTGCTTTTCTGCTTCTTTTGTCTTGAACTACAGCTTTTGTTAGGAATTGACCATTTTATTGGTTCTTTGTAAACTTGTTTCACATCTTGTTTCCTGTCTCTTCCTAAAATCCCATATCAGAAGGAGATAAAATATGGGTTCAGAACAATCAGAGGTCATTGGTGACATTACTTTCCTAAGAATATGACTTATTAGGGCTTCCTGATCCCCTGACTATCCCAGATCATGGATTCCTGATTCATGATAGATTGGACCATGAGCGAGTCTGTACAGTAGACTTTGTGTCCCACTGAAGAATCTCTAAGTTCTCAGACAATGCTTTTTTCAGTGCCTGTGTTGGGGGAAAAACAATAAACATCACATCTTTGCTTGGTTCTGTTTTGACTCTAGAGTCAGATGAAAACAGCTTTGCTATCTAGAAAATGATCATTTGGGTGGATTCAGAACTTGCCTGAAGGAGGAAAATCTGTGGGACTCTCCCTCCCCTCAAAGGTGTTATTGAGAACAGTGTGGCAGATGGAGAACCCACAGTTGGTTAAGCAATTTTCCAAAGAGATAATTTGGATGACATAATCAACATCCAAATTGAATCTTGACCAATATATGACCAGGAGCACAAGATGAAGTTTACTGATCCTTAGATCAAAGGTAAAATGAAGAAAGAATTAAAGTCAGAAAATATGGGCAGAGCTTAGTGAGCAGCACAATTCACAACTATAAATGCAGCCACAGCCCCAAAATAGGCAGGTGGTAGAAATGGAATATTCAAAGAAACACTTGGGCAGACCTCCCATTCATAGCATTAGGTGGTGGAAAGGCTTTCCTCTAAGTGGTGAAGCTGAAAGAGCTCTTCAGGTTAGGAATTTGAGTTATCAGAGGAAGGGTTATACTGAGTGGTTTTGGTCTCTACCCTCTACACTTAAAAAAATATTAACCCCAGAGAACTTCAGTTTATGTGGATTATATCCATTGACTTTTTTTTAAAGATTTGTTTGTTTATGCATACAAGAACTGGGGTACAGGCCAGAGGTGCGGTGGGGTGAGAGGATTCACCAGAGACAGAGTGGGGAACAGAACAGGAGGAATGACTGAAATACATTGCTGAGGGGAACAGCGGGTGAGTCAAGAGAGGTCTGCTGTGCCATGTGGGTAGCTCCCTGGCTGGGATCAAACTCATGCTGCAGTGGCTGTGGATAGCTTCATAGGTTGCGTCTTATAACCCCTTGCACCACCAAGGGAGGCCCATTGATAGTTCTCATGTTAGAAATTAAAATAAATTTTTATAATATTTATAAATTGCCTTATAAATGACAATGTCATTTTTATGAAAAAGAAAAAACTAAAAAATATTGTGAGAATAATGGCATATTGTACATTTGTGGTTTGTTAATTTATAGACAACAAGCAGGATTCTCCTACTGTTTCTTATAGTCAGTTTGTTGATACATGTCCCATAGCCTCTGGGAAATACTGTATACTTTTGGGAATGTTAGAGTGAAAGCAACTAATCTCTTAATAGTATGAAAATAGTTTTGACCTGAGTATCTTGGGAACCCCTAAAGGGCCCCAGACCTCTTGAAATTCTGCACAATGACATTGTAAATCTGGGATCCTACTATTTTTCTTTTCCCTTTGCTCCCCTGCCCCTGAGCCCCCTAAATCATGCAGAAGTTTCAAGTTTCAGGGCAATAATCGCAGCTTTCATTCTTTTATTCTGTGTATTTTTCTTTCTGATCTCTTAACCTCCTATGTTCCTGGCTTGCCCTTTATCTGTCCTTTGTTTGGAGGTTATCTTCTCACATTCCATGTGTGCCAAACATATCACTGTATCCAAGAAGGGGCCTTTTTGGGCTTTTGAGGAAGGAATTCTGACTCAGGAGAAGCAAACCTCTTGACCCAAAAGTCCCCTTCAGCCTGAGGATGAAAACCTGGTCTTCAACATTAGACCTTTAAGCAAAACCTTCCCTGACCCCTACTCCAGCAGTTTTACCCTTAATCTGCAGTGCTCGCATAACACGACACTTAGTGTCTCCCATGGCACTGGGCTGTAAACAGCTTGAAGGCAGGGACTGTCATTAGTCTGTTGTGTGAGCACCCAATGTGAGACTCACTTGAGTTCATTCGCATCTAGATCTTACAGTTGGCTCTGGGAAGTCAGTTCTGTTAAGCTGCCTTTACCAAAGACTTGACAGTCACTCTTCAATGTGAGTTCTTTGGTAGAATAATTTTCAACTTGAGACTAACAGAAATGTTTCCTATTTAGTTCACCAAATGACAAGAAGTCCTTTTGCTCAATCGAAGGGGAATGGAATGGTGTAATGTATGCAAAATATGCCACAGGGGTAAGAACCTGTATTTTACCACTTGTTTCAGACTGCATCAAATCGTAGCCTCTCCTTTACTCTTTCTTCAACAATGCCTGCTCTTATGCCTTCTCTTGAGGGGTCAAGCCTTTTCCTTTTCCCACTTTCCCCCCAAAAGTACAGGTAATAGAATGTTCATTACTTTCCTCTCAGAATACTTGAGAGGAGTATGTTAAAAAAATATTTGTGGCACATAGCAAGTCTAAAAAAACAATATACATACCTTAATTAAAAGTGACAGACACACATCACATGCTGCTGGAAAAATGGCACCAATAGACTTGACACTGGGTTGCCACAAATGTTCACTTTGTTTAAATAAAAATGCAGTATCTGTGGAATGCCTGTGCATGATTTATTTATATCTTTTAATTGAAATTCTTCTAGGAAGAGTTGACTTTTCCTCCTATAATAATTTGAACAATAAGTCTTCTACCTACTTTTTTTCATTTCTAGGAAAATGCAGTTTTTGTAGATACCAAGAAGTTGCCTATAATAAAGAAGAAAGTAAGGAAATTGGAAGATCAGAATGAGTATGAATCCCGCTGGTAAGGCGACAACAAAGCTAGAGCTTTGGTGGCAGTGCCCTTGCTGTTTCCTAGGATTAGGCGCCAGAACTGGGTTCTGGAGACAGCACGGCAGAGTTCCACAGTTCAGGCTAGTGTGAAAGCCTGGTTCATATGGAGTTCCACCACTTGCTAGCTCTGTAACATCCCCCAACCTAACCAGCTAGCTTTCTTTCCTGGAATGGGGACGATCTCACAGTTGAGTGAGGACTAAATGAGATAAACAGGGAGCATGTACATGATGCTTTGCCTGCACTAAGTACGCAGTATATACTGACTTACCATCACCTTTTTTGGCTTATAAGATGATGGCAGTAGGGGCCCAGGGGAGAAGTTTGCAGTAAAACACCTTCAGGTCTTGTTCACAAGTAACTTTAATTTCATCCCTGTTTGTGGTGCATGTACCTCTAAAACGACTAGAACAAACAAAAAACACTAGCCACAATAGGATTTTCATGCTTTAAAAAAAGCAGTTCCTATCAAATAGCTAATTGGCATGGTTTTCCATTCTCAATTTTTTCCCCTTTATGTGATAAAATTGGCATCTTTTAATGGTGTGAGGAATCATGCACTAAAGTTCTTTGTTTAGCATATTAGGGGATTTCTCAAGTGATGGAAGGGGACCTTTAAATCACTTCCTTGCTTGTTGTCTCTAAATTAATAGTCTTCTTGGCTAGACTGCCTGCTCGGTTTTATACACAGAAATCTATAGAAATCTGCTCTGCTACTCATCACAAGGGGCTCTTAGGCATGGCCTGTTTTCTATTCTCTAGGGGTCTTTACTTGTGAAGTGACACATTTTGTTTTTAAGATTTATTTATTTATGCATACAAGAACTGGGGTACAGGCCAGAGGTATGAGGGGGTGAGAGGATTCACCAGAGACAGAGTGGGGAACAGAATAGGCAGATTGACTGAAATACACTGCTGAGGGGAACAGCGGGCGAGTCAGGAGAGGTCTGCTGTGCTATGTGTGGGTAACTCCCTGGCCAGGGATTGAACTCGTGCTGCAGTGGCTGTGGACAGCTTTGTAGGTTGCATCTTAACCCTTTGTACCACCAGGGAGGCCCTAAAGTGACACATTTAGACCAGACTTACATAGTTACCATCTTCCAGGTATTGAGAAGTCAGATCTCTTATCCCTTAAGCCCCTGCAGTTTACCTCTTGAACCTTACTATTTTTATTCAAACTTTCTCTAAGAATTTACTGTTAAATCCATAAAAGTTTATCTGAAATGGAACTTCTCAACTCCTCTGATCTAATCCTTTTCGTTTATAATAAAGGACACTCAGGTCCTGAAGAAGGGAACTGACTCTTCAGAGTTGCATTAGGTAGAGCCAGAAGTAGGATTCCAGATCTTCCCCCCACCGCCCCCACTGTTCTTTGTCCTCATTTGACCTTTCTGCCCATCCCTGATTCCTCCATTGATAGTAGTGGAATCTTTCATTTGTTCTTTACTCCAATGCCCTGGTGCCAGCTTAGGACATTCAGTCTGTGAACTGTAGCACTTAAAGCCATTTGATTTTTTTTTTTTTTTAATTTATGCATACAAGAACTGGGGTACAGGCCAGAGGTGTTGGGGGTAGGGGTGAGAGCATTCACCAGAGAAAGAGTGGGGAATAGGCACACTGCTGAGGGAAGCAGCAGGCAAGACAGGAGAGGTCTGTTGCACCATGTAGGTAGCTCCCCTGGCCAGCCAGGGATCAAACTCGTGCTGCAGAGGCTGCGAATAGTTTCACAGTGCTATGCTTAACCCCTTGCGCCACCAGGGAGGCCCCAAAGCCATTTGATTTAATACTGTAATTATGCTATATTCAGTGTGGCTCTAGATTCAGTCTCAAGATTGCTGCCTTCTCTGTCGACACATCTAATACTTAGCACTTCTTCTCTTTAAGTCTTTGGAAGGATGTTACTTTCAACTTAAAAATCAGAGATATCGATGCAGCAACTGAAGCGAAGCATAGACTCGAAGAAAGACAAAGAGCAGAAGCTCGAGAAAGGAAAGAGAAGGAAATTCAATGGGAGACAAGGGTAAGTTTGCTTTGGTGAATCTGTGTCAACCTCCCAGCTGCTGCTACTCCAATACTCTGAGCTATAACTCAGTTCAGTGAATTTGAAACGAAGCACCAGAGACCGTTTTAAATAAGCAAGATGATGAACAAGATGAGCCCTTTTGGGTCCCTGCCTGTAACTGAATTTTCCTCCTTTCTCTTGCAGTTATTTCATGAAGATGGAGAATGTTGGGTTTATGATGAACCATTACTGAAACGTATTGGTGCTGCCAAGCATTAGGTTGGGAAATGCAAAATTTACACCCGATGACGAGAGCAGTAGGCATAATTAAGCAACAATCTTCCTTTCGGAGAATGTATTTACTCCCGTCTTACTGCAGTGGTTCCTAACTCAGGGATACTGGACTCTGATGCAGATGAACAATTAAAGCGAGAAAAACTTTCCTGTTTTCCTCTTCTGTGGCAGTTACAATTTGGACTTCAGTGCTGAGAAAAATTCCAGGTTTGAACACAAAATGTCTGCTCCTTTCCCAAACTCCATGCTTTGAAAAGCATTTATAAATCTCAATCTGAAAGTCTGCGCTCTAGTTCTGCTATTGGTATATACAGGTTTCCTAGTTCATATAATCTTGGATTCTATATATACACATATATATAAACACACACACATATATATATACATATATAATATACCTGATGCCAGATTTTTCATAAATATTCCACATCTGTAAATACTGGTTCCTCTGAGTTTTAGAAAATTAGCGCAATGTATTAAAATCAAGTGTCAGGAAATTTCACGGTTTTATCTTCTATAACTTTTATTTTGGAATTGAACTATTATTGTATCTAACTCTGGACTACAGTTTAATTATACTCAGTGCTTCTTAAAGCTTCATAAAGTAATTTTTCCAACCTTTTTTCCAATGTGTTTCTTTTATTATCCTTATGGTTAAGATCGGTGCCAATTATTTCTAACCTTGATATAGGAGCCAGCTTTTCACAGGGAGTCCTTCTATAGTGGAGCATCTCTCCTTTTCCTCTCCCCTCCCTTATTCTCTGTTGTCTTTAACCCCCTAAAGTCTTCAGTTGAATTCTCATTTAGCACACATAGGGCTACCAAGATTTTATCCAAAAATATTTTATTGCCTTAGATGATTTAGGAAGAGTGTATTAGATCCCCATCCCACACTGAAATAAAATAATGCCACAGCAGCAAATGGGCCATTCTGAAGGGCAATACATAACTATCTTTATTTAAAAATACATTTAAAAAAATGAATTAGTTATTAGCACCTAGTATTTAGGTACTAAAGAACATCTGTTACATAGGGCTTCTCAAAGCTTAGTAGAACTGGAGTTTCCATCTGAGAGGTCTTAGGATGGCCAGGGTTTTTCATACTGCAAGCTTGCTGGTCACAGTTGACCTACCCTGCTAATGTCTCTTTGCAGCTGCTACAGTAACCCTTGTTTTGTTAGTCACAACAGAAGGGGGAGTAGGGTGGGAGAGTAAATAAAATTCTATAACAGTGCAAAAAAGTCAATGGAAGCCCTAAGGCAGTAGTAGTGTAACATCATAAAATACACATTTTTAAATACACAATACTTCAGGCCAACGAAGACTGCAGTTTATTTGACTATTTTATGGTAGGGGAGAAGCTTAAGTGTTGATGTGAAAGCCCTGATATCAGTAATGGGGATGGTAGACTCTGCCAGCAGGTGAGAAGTTGGCAGGTAGGTTAGCTGCATCACTTCACAAGAAGAGTTTGAGTCCTCACCAGAAGGGGTGCCATCCTCTTCCAGCTCATACTTCCCAAATCCAACAACCTAAAGGGGCCAAAGACTTGAGGTGAGATATAGGCTGACCAGATTTGGGCAAAGACCAGTTATGATCTCTGGTACCCTGCAAAAGAGTGTTAATCATACTCACGTGAACGCTGAGCATTTTACTTCCTGGTCCTCTATGCGCCTTGAACCAGCTGACTAGGTCTGTTTTTGAGAATGACTTCAGGGCTTCAATCTTACAAAGAGAAGGAAGATAGCAATATAGGTATATAGACTAGCACTGTATTTTCCTTAAGAATTCTTAAACATTACCCACTCCCACCCCCAGGCAGACCACCTCCTTGTGCTTAGCATCTTAACATCATTTCACTCTTCCAAGCCTCAGCTTGTCCCGAACCTTCCACAGAAATAAAAATGAGTCCCTCTATTTGATAGCAATAATTGACCCCAGCAGACAGGCAATTATAGCTAAGTATGCACTGAACCAAAACCTTAATGCCATCTCTCAGTTTTACACTGGTATTTACATGATATACTTTGGTTTGGGGAAATACAGTAACTATTCCAACAGGTGAAGAGAACTTTGTTTCTAACAGGAAAACAGGAGTGCCTTCAGCTAAGCTGAAGCCTCTTGTTAAATGACCTTCCGCCTCATAAAGCAATGAATATCCTTGGGTAGGACCCAGCACTAACTCAGGGCTTTATCATTTTGGACTAGAAGTTGTCAAAAACCTATACACCTATAATCGGTCTGGAGGAAGAACGCTGTAAGATTAAAAGTTCTTAATTTCCGGGCCTCCCCGGTGGCGCAGCGGTTGAGCGCTGGGTTGCGAAGCTGCCTGCGGCCTCTGCGGCACCGGTTCGATCCCCAGCTGCTCCCCGGCCACCAGATGAGGATCCCACATGGCGCGCAGACCTCTCCTGCAGCCCGCTGCTCCCCTTAGCAGTGTACTTCGGTCCTTCTGCCTGCTCTGCTCCCCGCTCTGGCTCTGGTGAATTCTCTCACCCTCCCGCACTTCTGACTGTACCCAGTGCATGTATAAACAAACAAATAAATAAAACATGCCTCTATTAAAAAAAAAAAAAGTTCTTAATTTCCTTTAAATAGAATACTCTCTCCAAACTTGGTAGTGAATCTCAAAAATACAAAAAATTGCTCTGACTCAAATGGGTGGGGGTGAATGGTTATCGGTTGTTGATGAAATATGGCCAGGAACGGGGGTGCTAAGGATTAGCCTCTTGCTTAGTTGGGCCATCTTGGGTGCTAGAGAGGCAGGTCCAGAAACCAAAGTTTGATCAATCAAGAAATAAATTACCAAGCCTAACTCGGTGTCTCAGGTTTCTCTTCCACACAATATCAATTTGCTTGTAATGGTGACTCCTACAGAATGAGGGCTGTCTTACTCTAAAAACTGTTACTACCTCATGGACAAGGCGGTCAAAGAGGTACTGCTGTGTCACCACTTCGTTCCAGTTCCTATCCACCTCCTCCCCAAGGTGGGTATCTTCACACTCCTTTAGCTTGATCAGAGCTGTGACCTGTTACCACCACAAAAAAAAAAAAAAAAAGAGACCTCCAGACATGGCATCACACCAGTTCCCCCACAACACTCTTGGTCCTCTCCAGTCTGGTTGTGATCGACCTACTAATGGTCCTGTCACTTGGGACCTGCCAGCATGATGTGAATGGACAAGGCTAGGAAGACCTGGTCAGATAAGGGTGGGGCCTACAAAGCTCAAATACTGGTCACCACACTGCACTGCTGATTATCTAGTTGTCCTGAGGGCTTGTGTGGGCAAGAGCCAAAGAGCAGGCCAGAACAGTCACCTGGGTATTAAATGCTTCCTCAGTGAGGTTCTCGATCTTCTCCTCAAAGCTAGAAAGAAATTCTTCTATCTTCTTATCAACAACCTCAGAGCTGAAAGAAAAACACCTTTATTTAAAAGTCATAATGGGGGCCTCCCCGGTGGCGCAGCGGTTGAGCGCTGGGTTGTGAAGCTGCCTGCAGCCTCGGCGGCGCCGGTTCGATCCCCGGCTGCTCCCCGGCCACCAGAGGAGGGTCCCACATGGCGCGCAGACCTCTCCTGCCGCCCGCTGCTCCCCTCAGCAGTGTACTTCGGTCCTTCTGCCTACTGTGCTCCCCGCTCTGGCTCTGGTGAATTCTCTCACCCTCCCGCGCTTCTGACTGTACCCAGTGCATGTATAAACAAAACAAACAAACAAATAAATAAAACATGCCTCTATTAAAAAAAAAAAATAGAAGTCATAATGGGCCTCCCCAGTGGCGCAGCGGTTGAGTGCTGGGCTGCGAAGCTGCCCGCAGCCTCTGCAGCGCCAGTTCGATCCCTGGCCGCTGGGCGAAGGTCCCGCATGGCGCGCAGACCTCTCCTGCCGCCCGCTGCTCCCCTCAGCAGTGTACTTCGTCAGTCTGCCTGTTCTGCTCTCCCCTCTGACTCTGGTGAATTCTCTCACCCTCCCGTGCTTCTGATTGTACCCAGTGCTTGTATAAATAAATAAAATAAATCTAAAAAAAAAATTTTAAAAAGTCATAATACAAAGGAGAGAATTTGGGATAACACATGTTTCCAGGAAAGAGGCTGAGGTGTCTCCTTCCCTGGTCTCAGTACTCTTCCTACACTGAGGGTGGGAAAAGAATAGGGAAGAACCCCTACTTCCACTGCCAACCCAATATCCAACTATTCCAAACCTGAGAACCAGCAAGGCCTTAGTTCTTGCATGAATGCCAGGTCAGGCATCCTTGCCTTGCTTGTCCTCAGGTCTACCTGCAGAAAAGAAATAATGGCACACCCTGCATAGGGACTCCTGGACTTGAGTCCAAGCCTGCAGACCCCTGAAACCACTGGTGAGTCATGAATCAGGCCATCTATGAACCACCTCCACAATTGATTAAATGAAGCAAACCTTGTTGGTTAGAGTTGCTTGACCATTAAGACATGTAGCGCCTACTCTCTATGCCAAGAAAATAATAGTTGGGCCCATCTACTCACTCGCTTACTCACTTGTATTTGGTTGCCTGAGTCCCCACGGTGACAGAGAATCCTAGAATCCCAGATGTGTTCCTACAGGTAGGGTAGACATGGTACCTACATCCAGAGCAAAAAGTTCTATGAGCTCAGGTAGTTGTTGGGGCCCTGCCCTCAGGGGTACTACTGATGGGTAGGAACAGTTTCTGCACACCCTCACTGCACCTAGAGGTCCTGAAGGAGAATCTACGAATGTGTTTGCATCTATTTAATTCTCAGGGTGTTCACTCTACTAATGAAGTAAGATCTACAGGCTAGCTTTTTCTTTTGCTAATCTTGAAACTTAATCATAGTCCAAGATGCAAATTTCATAACTTCTGGCAAATAGGTATGACTCTAAGGTATGAAAGAACCAAAGAGCGGTGAGAGGCTGCTCATCAGCATATGTGATAAACCTCAGCCTGCAAAGAGCCCCAGTCCCTTATTTGCGCTCAGTGCTCTTGCCAGCAGACTTACCCAAGGGTCTGCTTGGTTCGAAGGAAGTCAAAACAAGGTTCTTCCATGTGCATCTGTAATTCAACATACTACCCATCAGCCCAACTCCTCCCAACAGAAAAACCTTTCTTCCCCTAAAAGTTCCATATACCACCCTTTTCCCAAACTCCAGCCTCCCTCATTGCCCTGTTCCTAAATTTCCCAGGGCCTCTGTCCATGTTCATACAGGGGAGAATACTAAATAACCGTCTCGCAAGTCCCTAGCCCCAGGCAGAATGGACAGTCACAGTGGGTCAGGGGCTCCTGAACACCACCACTCTATACAACTTACCACAAGCAGTTCCATAAGAGTGTATTCTTTCAGACTCCTGGTACCTGACTGAAAAGAGAAGTTGGTCAGACCAACTGTAAACCCAATGACTGACAGGATTTAAAAAACCCAAGTTAGTCTGAGCAATCATGAATTCAGGTATCTAACCTACTCTTCTCTTCCCCCCAAGAAGTAGAGCATATCAACAGCCCAACTTTATTGTTTATATATGACTTTATTGTTATATGCCCTCCCACTAGACTCAAAGTCTGTGAGGACAGGGATCACACAAGATCATTTGTATTCCCAGCCCTAGACCGAACTGCAGGTACATGGAAATGAGTTCGA